GGCAGCTCAACTCGACAAGCGACGCAACTCGACAGACCACCGGCTTCAATTTCTTGATAGAATCAGACCTTAATACTTACTATCGCATTACATCTGCCATTTCCAAACTACAACCTGCCCGTTCTACCCAAATTCTTGACGTCACCCACAACTAACTACAACGCCCACCTCCCGCGCTCGCTGATTGTCAGATGGAATTCAACCGATTGTAATCGCAAACACAGGGACCAGAACCAGACGTTACATGCAGTGAAATGATGAATGATTTCAAGTTTCCAGGAGGTGACACAGATCCGGATCACCTCCCTCTCCATTCTCCCTCTCTCCGGTCTGTCTTGTTTCTCTCTCTCACCCTTCTCTTTCTCTCTGGTCTCTCTCTTTAGGTTTCCTCTGGGTGCTCCGGTTTCCCCCTAAAAATGTACAATAGTCCCCTTTAAAACCCCCTTCCTGACCCCACTCCTGCAGCCTTGCTCTGGGGGTTCAAGATTCTGAAACCTTAGTGGGTTTTTCCTGGTCAAAGTTCAATAAGAATAATAATAGTAGGTCTTTGAACTCTCTCTCTCTGGTCTCTCTCTCTCTAAAAAACAAAAGTAATGCATTTGTTCCTTAAAGACAAAAAAAATCTATGAAAAGAGTGAAAGTATTTCCAGGTGTACGGTATGTGACGGGAAAATTATCTTGTGTCTAAGGTCTCTGTAATAGATAGCACTTGACTTGAGTGTGTGAAGTCTGTCCTCTCACTTTTAAATGACGTTGTGACAACAGTGACACCAAATGTTTCTCACATCCTCTGTTCACAGAGAGAGTCGGGCCAGGACGTCTTTGACTGTGTTGCTCCATCAATTATACAAAATTAAAAAACTAAAGTTAATAAGTTTAATGGGTTCCACCTGCCCCCCTTGGACTGCCACCTTAACGTGGTGGGGGAGTTTGAGCACTCGGATGATCCTGGGAGCTATGCTGTCTGGGGCTTCATGCCCCTGGTAGGGTCTCCCATGGCAGACAGGTCTCAAGTGACGAGTCAGACGAAGCGCAGTCCGAAGCCAACCATGGACAGCACGACAATGAGAACCGTGACGTCGCCCGGCATGGCGCAGCCGGGGCCCCACCCTGGAGCCAGGCCTGGGGTCGGGGCTCGCAAGCGAGCGCCTGGTGGCCGGGCCTTAGCCCACGGGGCCCGGCCGGGCTCAGCCCGAAGGGATGACGTGGGCAGTCCCTCCTGTGGGCTCACCACCTGCAGAGGGGTCCGTGGTGGCGAGGTGCAGAGAGGACTGGGCAGCAGTCGAAGGCGGAGACCTCGACGACCCAGTCCACACACCCAACATCTGGCTCTTGGGACGTGGAACGTCACCTCACTGGGGGGGAAGGAGCCCGAGCTTGTGGGGGAGGTTGAGCGATACCGACTAGAGATAGTCGGCCTCACCTCCACACACAGCTTGGGCTCTGGAACCCAACTCCTTGAGAGGGGTTGGACACTCCACTTTTCTGGTGTTTCCCGCGGGGAGAGGCGGCGAGCTGGGGTGGCCATACTCATTGCCCCCCATCTCAGCCGCCACGTGTTGGAGTTCTCCCCGGTGAATGAGAGGGTCGCGTCCCTCCGCCTCCGGGTGGGGGACAAGTCTCTCACTGTTGTGACGGCCTACGGGCCTAACGGTAGTGCAGAGTACCCGGCCTTCTTGGAGTCCTTGGGAGGGGTACTGGACAGTGCACCGCCCGGGGACTCCGTTATTCTCCTGGGGGACTTCAACGCCCATGTGGGAAATGCCAGTGACACTTGGAGAGGGGTGATCGGGAAGAGCGGCCCCCCTGATCTGAACCCGAGCGGTGTTCAGTTGTTGGACTTCTGTGCCAGTCACGGCCTGTCCATCACGAACACCATGTTCGAGCACAAGGGTGTCCATCAGTGCACGTGGCACCAGGACACCCTAGGCCGGAGGTCGATGATCATCTGACCTTCGACCGCGTGTCTCGGACACTCGGGTGAAGAGAGGGGCGGAGCTGTCAACCGATCATCACCTGGTCGTGAGTTGGATCCGCTGGCAGGGCAGGAGGCCGGTCAGACCTGGCAGGCCCAAGCGTGTAGTGAGGGTTTGCTGGGAACGTCTTGGTGAGCCCCCTGTCAGACGGACTTTCAACTCACACCTCCAGGAGAGCTTCTCCCAGGTCCCGGCAGAGGAGGGGGACATTGAGTCCGAGTGGACCATGTTCTCTTCCTCTATCGCCAATGCGGCGGCTCGTAGCTGTGGTCGCAAGGTCTCTGGTGCTGGTCCCGGCGGCAATCCCCGAACCCGGTGGTGGACACCGGCAGTAAGGGATGCCGTCAGGCTGAAGAAGGAGTCCTATCGAGCAATGATGGTTCGTGGGACTCCTGAGGCAGCTGTCCAGTACCGGCAGGCCAAACGTGCCGCGGCCCGGGCTGTTGCAGAGGCAAAAACCCGGGACTGGGAGGAGTTCGGAGAGTCCATGGAGCATGACTATCGGTCGGCCTCGAAGAGGTTCTGGCAAACCGTCCGGCGCCTCAGGAGGGGGAAGCAGTTCTTTGCCAACACCGTGTATGGTGGGGTGGAGGGCTGCTGACCTCGACTGGGGATATTGTCGGGCGGTGGAAGGAATACTTCGAGGTTCTCCTCAATCCCCCCGTCACGTCCTCCGTCCAGGAGGCAGAGGCTGAGGATGTTGGGGCGGATACTTCCATCTCCCTGGCCGAGGTCACCAAGGTGGTTGGCAGCCTCCATGGTGGCAAGGCGCCGGGAGTGGATGAGATCCGTCCTGACTATCTAAAGTCTCTGGATGTTGTAGGACTGTCTTGGCTGACACGTCTCTGCAACATCGCGTGGCGATCGGGGGCGGTGCCAATGGAGTGGCAGACCGGGGTGGTGGTCCCTCTCTACAAGAAGGGGGACCGGAGGGTGTGTTCCAATTATCGTGGGATCACACTCCTCAGCCTCCCCGGTAAGGTCTACTCCAAGGTACTGGAGAGGAGGCTACGTCCGATGGTCGAATCTCGGATTCAGGAGGAGCAGTGTGGTTTTCGTCCCGGTCGCGGAACACTGGACCAGCTCTATACTCTCCATCGGATACTCGAGGGTTCATGGGAGTTCGCCCAAACTGTCCACATGTGCTTTGTGGATTTGGAGAAGGCGTTCGACCGTGTTCCCCGGGGTGTCCTTTGGGGGGTCCTCCGGGAGTACGGGGTCCGGGGTCCTCTGCTGAGGGCTGTTCGGTCCCTGTATGACCGGAGCCAGAGCTGTGTTCGCATTGCCGGCAGTAAGTCAGACCTGTTCCCGGTGCATGTTGGCCTCCGCCAAGGCTGCCCTTTGTCACCGGTTCTGTTCACTGTATTTATGGACAGAATCTCTAGGCGCAGCCAGGGGCCGGAGGGGGTCCGGTTCGGGAACCACAGGATTTCATCTCTACTTTTTGCGGATGATGTCGTCCTGATGGCTCCAACGAACCAGGACCTGCAACATGCACTGGGACGGTTTGCAGCCGAGTGTGAAGCGGCTGGGATGAGAATCAGCACCTCCAAATCCGAGGCCATGGTGCTCGACCGGAAAAAGTTGCCTTGCCCTCTTCAGGTGGGTGGAGAGGTCCTTCCTCAAGTGGAGGAGTTCAAGTATCTCGGGGTCTTGTTCACGAGTGAGGGGAGGATGGAGCGTGAGATTGACAGGCGGATCGGTGCAGCGTGCGCAGTGATGCGGTCTCTGTATCGGACCGTTGTGGTAAAGAGGGAGCTGAGCCGAAAGGCAAAGCTCTCAATTTACCGGTCAATCTTCGTTCCCTCCCTCACCTATGGTCATAGGCTGTGGGTAATGACCGAAAGAACGAGATCGCGGATACAAGCGGTCGAAATGAGCTTCCTCCGCAGAGTGGCTGGGCGCTCCCTTAGAGATAGGGTGAGGAGCTCGGTCACACGGGAGGAGCTCGGAGTAGAGCCGCTGCTTCTCCACGTCGAGAGGAACCAGTTGAGGTGGCTCGGGCATCTGTTCAAGATGCCTCCTGGACGCCTTCCTGGGGAGGTGTTCCGGGCACGTCCCACCGGGAGGAGGCCCCGGGGAAGACCCAGGACACGCTGGAGAGACTATGTCTCTCAGCTGGCCTGGGAACGCCTAGGGGTCCCCCCGGACGAGCTGGAGGAGGTGTGTGTGGATAGGGAAGTCTGGGCGTCTCTGCTTAGACTGCTGCCCCCGCGACCCGGCAACGGATAAAGCGGAAGAAAATGGATGGATGGATGGATGGGTTCCACCTAAAAATCAAGCCCTGGTGATCCAAGATGGCGTACTATTCAAATCAATGGCTTGTGCTCAGTAACGCATGGGACAGCCATGGGGACCGAATGATTAACGGAACTCGCCCATATTTGGGCATTGTCTGGTCCTCCCGGTTCTGCGCAGTGGACAAGCTCTCATGATGCTTTGCACCAAATACGTGTGTGTAGCTCTCATGCACATGCACAGAGGGGCTCGGCCGCGCTTTGACCAATCAGAGCTGCTGATCAGAGCAGGAGTTAGAGCGGAGCCAGAGCGGGAAGAAAACGAGCAGAGTTTGTTGCATTAAACTGAAGGATTTAACAAGAAAAAAAGTTCAGGATGACAAGGGACACTAAAATCCCCACGAAATACGACCATTATGACAGTTGTATGTTCTGTTAGCTGAGGTCATGCTGTTTTAGTTTACATTGAGTTCTATGTGACATTTTTCTGGGTATCCCACATGAATTTAGTCTACAGCTATAAATACAGATATAATTATAGATCCATGCTAAAGATAGGCTAAGAGAGACCAGAGAGAGACACCAGAGAGATCAGAGAGAGAGAAAAGAGAGAGACCAAAGAGAGAGAGACAGAGAGAGACCAGAGAAAGAAAGAATGCAGTGAGAGACCTGAGGTCTATGGAGAAATCTCAACCTCAGGTGGCCTCTTGTCCATGTGTAGACGGGTATAAGCAGCGACACCCTCCCCATAATATCATACATGTACCCTATAACAAAGCCCTCATACCTGCAGACTGTAGTAAGACGCTGTAGTCTGCCCCCCGGTGGCTGGGCATGTCCTGGTCCACTTCCTGTGTCTCTGAGGCGTCATATCGGTCCCAGTTGGACTCCAGCTTCCTCCTGGAGAACGACCGGCTCACGTATTCTTCTCCGGGAAACTCCCCCTCGTTGTCATAACAAGCCTTTTAACCAAGCAGAGATTAATGACTACATGTTTAAAATATTACTTGAAGTGATACTCGGGCTCAATTTTTTTATTAAGCAATATTTTTGTTTCACTTTTACTAATTTGTCTTGACTAATGATACATTTTCTACATCTCTCTGGTCTCCATCTCTCTGGTCTCCATCTCTCTGGTCTCCATCTCTCTGGTCTCCATCTCTCTGGTCTCCATCTCTCTGGTCTCCATCTCTCTGGTCTCCATCTCTCTGGTCTCCATCTCTCTGGTCTCCATCTCTCTGGTCTCCATCTCTCTGGTCTCCCAAAGGTCACCCTTTTTTTTCATGCAGCTGATTTGGCTTCATATTTCTTCAAGTTTCTGCTGTGATGAGTTTTGGCTACATCACATTTTACCTCTGCGTTCTGAAACATGAGGAGTTCATTTCATTGTGCAATTGTGAATAAGGAGAATTGTGAATTTAGGTGAGCGAGGGACTGAAGGCTTACATTTCAATTAGTTTTGAAGGTGGATATTTCTTACAATTCTCACAATGCAATTTAATATGATTAAATAATAACTTTCAGCTTTTAATACACTTTGTTATTTCTATGCCCGTGGAATTAAAACATGCAGAGCTAGATAATCAAATTTGTGGTAACCCAACTCCCCCTCTCTGGTCACCCTCCCTCTGGTCTATATTTCTCACTCTGGTCTCCCTCTATCTCTGGTCCATCTCTGTTTTGCAAAATATTCTCAAAAAAAAAACTCTTCAAAACGAAATTGGACATAGATTTTTGTCATCTCAAAAAACTCACTTCAGAAACACAGGCGCAGTGAGACTACAAAACAGTGACATTAAGGCAAAACCCGCACAAAATCAAAACACTTAAAGTCTCTCTCTCGCCTCCCACTCTGGTCTCTCCCACTCTGGTCTCTCCCACTCTGGTCTCTCCCACTCTGGTCTCTCCCACTCTGGTCTCTCCCACTCTGGTCTCTCCCACTCTGGTCTCTCCCACTCTGGTCTCTCCCACTCTGGTCTCTCCCACTCTGGTCTCTCCCACTCTGGTCTCTCCCACTCTGGTCTCTCCCACTCTGGTCTCTCCCACTCTGGTCTCTCCCACTCTGGTCTCTCCCACTCTGGTCTCTCCCACTCTGTGCTAGCTGGAGTCCAACTAGCACAACGAAGATTGTGCTAATCTTCGTTAGCACAAGATTTTGTGCTAACGAAATGCATAAACATTACTCTCATACAACATGACCAGTATGAAGTAGTTACTGACTTTTGGTTTTATAAATAACTCATGACAACCATTCTAATTGGCATTATTTAATTTGAATGAATCTTTGGTCTGGAGTCTTGAGTGAACGGTGTCTTTAGAGCAGTGACGGTGACGGCGCTCCGTGACTGCACCAGCGACAGCTCAGTGACGCGTTGGGAAAGTGACTCAGGGCTCATTAGTTTTGGTGAAGGCTTCAAACGGCGGTGGACCTTGACCCACTCGTCCTGCTTAGAGACCACTTGTGAATTAGTGCAAGGAGTATTAGGCCCTGTCCACACAAAGGCAAAGTCAGAGTGGGAGAGACCAGAGTGGGAGAGACCAGAGTGGGAGAGACCAGAGTGGGAGAGACTACTTCAGTAACTACTTCATACTGGTCATGTTGTATGAAGAGTAATGTTTATGCATTTCGTTAGCACAAAATCTTGTGAAAAGTGGTCTTCTTTAATGCTTCTGACCACGTCAAAACATTTAACACACGTTCTTAACAATAGCCCAACAACAAAATAAAAAAAATATAGCTGTCAAATATTTTAGCAATCTAGTAATCAAGTAATCAAAGAAATCATATTTTTGCTTAGTTAATCATAAATAAACAATATCAAATGATAAACCACTTGATAATGATAATGATATTTCTTGCACTATGATAAGATAAGATATGATATACTTTATTAATCTCACACAGGAGAAATTTACATGTCACGTTTGGCATGGATAGAAACACTCAAGATTGTCCAAAAAGTAAGAAATTTGCAAACAGGACATATTATGTACAAAAGTGGCAATTAGAAAAAGTGTCAATAGTAGTGCAGGTTTTATCAGTCTTAGTGCAGTGACTTAAAGTGACTTGTTATACAGTCTGACGGCGGTGGGGATAAAGGCCCTGCGGTAGCGCTCCTTCCTACACTGAGGGTGCCTCAGTCTTCCACTGAAGGAGCTCCTCAGCTCCTCTACAGTCCTGTGCAGTGGGAGGTGTTGTCAATGATGGACGTGGCTTTGACTAGCACCCTCCTGTCCCTCACCTCCTCCAGAGTCCAGGGAGCAGCCCAGAGTGGAGCTGGCCCTCCGGACCAGCTTGTTCAGTCTGCTTCTGTCTCGCTCTGTGCTGCCCGGGGCCCAGCACACGGCAGCGTAGTATATGGCTGAGGCTACCACAGAGTACTACAGAGATACAGTCTTTTATATTTCTATATTATGCTAAAGTTAGAGAACACAAATAATCTTTGTGAAAGGTGAGCTTTGACTACAATTTATTAAACAAGGCAAACGATACAAAGTCTGGAGGCAGCGGCGCTTACGCTGATATTTTTCCTACTCAAGTGACTTGAGTTGTTTTAGCTCTAAAATAAATTAGGGCCGGGACTTGATAAAATAAAAATCCAATTAATTAGAGGCTTCGTGATTAATCATATTTTATTGCATATAAATATTTGACCTGAGAAAAGAAATAAGCATTTTATTTCACATGGATCTTTAGTATTTCCTTGAATAATAACCGAATACATAAGTTTAAGCAACAAAATAATTGTAATTTTGTTCAACCAAGTCCAATAGACCAGTGCGACTATTGCCATTAAGTGTAGCAATAGCGTATTAAGAAATATAATCCAATTTGCAGGCCCTTATCTTCTATCACTCTTAAGTGGTCTACAGTCGAGGGCAATCCAGTGAGCCAGCCTTAAACCATGCTAGCTGCTCTATGTTTAGCATTGAGATGACATTTGATGAGCTGCAGTGCTATACAAACAATAAAACAATAGAAAAAAATAATTAAACCTTCAAATTGTTGACTTGTTTTGTCTGAGTGGTGTTTGAATGTTCTCCCCATGTCTGTGTAGATTTCCTCTGGGTGACCTGGTTTTCCTTACAACTAAAAACATGTACAATAGGTAAAATCCTCCTGCTTTGGTCCTGACCAAGAGCATAAACATCTGGAGATGGGCCTTGGGGGGTGTAATACAGCTCTAGTCTCTTGCCCTCTCGTCTCTCGTATCGCCCTATTGTTTCTTTATGGTCTCTAAATGTATCCAAGACATCTCATCTCTCAACCTGCTATGGCCACTTCTGGATCTCCAGCCTTCAGTAAACAAAAATAAAGATACATTTCTGCATTGGTCTTTTTCGGCAGTAGCTCAGTTGGTAGAGCATTGGCCTTTGAGCCAGCAGGTCGTGGGTTCAAGCCCCGCTCAAGACTTTCACCATCGACTCCCACTGACTACTGTCGTTGTGCCCTTGGCAAGACACTTAACCTCTGGGAACACCAGCCACAGTGGGGCGGCTGCGGCTGTAAAGTGCCAAACTGCCGTTGTGTCCTTAGGCAAGACACTTCACCCCCATTGCCTAGAATGAGTCTGGTGTGTGTATGAATGGTTGGTGGTGGTCGGAGGGGCCGATGGCGCATACTGGTTGCCTCGCTTCTGTCAGTGTGCCCCAGGGCAGCTGTGGCTACAGCAGTAGTTTATCACCACCGTGTATGGAGTGAATGAATAATGACACATGTGAAGCGTCTTTGAGTGTCCAAAAAAGCGCTATATAAAACCGATGCATTATTATTATTATTATTTCTCCTCATGACATCAAACAGCAGACAGACACAGCAGGACATGTGTGATTGCAATCAGAGGCTCCTGACGCTCAGATTCTACAATGATTGCAATCACAGTGGTCCCTATTCTCACATAACACTGCAGTTTCCATTGAACAACACTGAGCTACCATAGCACCGCAGCAGAGGCCAGTGTTGTTGTGGGGGGGGACACCAAGAGAACTGAAGCTGAACCTGTGGGGGATACGGTGGGGCTTTGGGAGAGGAACAAATAGTGAGTCATAGGCCGGCTTCCACCAGCCCACAACTAATCGATTAATCGACGACTAATCGATTATTGAAATAGTCGACAACTATTTTAGTAATCGATTAATCGTTTTCTGGTTCACACGGACTCAAACAGAGCAAAAATGACATAAAAATTTAGTATTTTTGATTAAAACCGACTTTGTTTTTATAATTTCATGAATATCTGTCTGTCTCATCCAATCAGATAGCAGAATTAGCACAAAGAGCCTGTTACAAACATTTACTTTAAGTTTACGCCATCAATACGTCCTCGAGTGTTGCCACTTTAGCTTTTTGTGATGAAATTTTTTTTTTTTCTACACAATTCACAGCCAAGCGATTACTCGATTAATCGATTACAAAATAATCGTTAGTTGCAGCTCTACACTCTACTCTTGTCCACCAGATCCTTCTTTTGTCGCTCTTGGCCCTGGTTCGATCCAGGCCAAGCTGGTACGTCAGGGTTCTACCTGACAGTGATTGGCCAGGAATTTCCCCGGATACTGGCTTGTAGTGGGTAGGTTGCTAGGATTTGGTACCAGATACTAAAGCATAGTGAACACAAAACCAGGTAGAGCCGAGGCAAGAAGAGACACAAGGCAAATACTTTCAATCAAACACTCTAATGAGCAACAGTACGTTATTATTATAGATCCATGGTAACAGTCCTCTCTCTGAAGCTGTTCTCAGGGGAAACATCACAGTGCTTTGATTTGGTCCAATACAGAAAAATCACATATTCACTGACTGAAAGAATAACCAAATAATCGAAAATTACAGCCGTTGCCGAGAAAGAACAACACGAGTCACACACGAGACAATAAATAAATTGTGCTTATTTGTTTGACTCTTCAATACCCATGGATGAGAATTACTTTGTACAAGAGTAATTTACTTTTTGAACACCAGTACGGATTCAGATCAAACAGATCAACTTCTCTTGCACTCATTCATCTAACAGATGAAATATTGGCAGCTATTGACAAAAAGCAATACTTGGTTAGTATTTTTTTAGATCTACAGAAAGCTTTTGACACGGTGGATCATAAACTATTGTTAACAAAACTAAATAATTATGGCATAAGAGGCCAGATCCATAAATGGCTGGAAAGCTATCTAACTAACAGACAGCAATATGTTCAAATAAATGGCAGTAACTCTGACTGTAAAACAATCATATCTGGGATTCCTCAAGGTTCCATAATTGGCCCAAAACTTTTTATTTTATTCATTAATGATATTCATGAAATTACCAAAAACATGGACTTTCTTTTATTTGCAGATGACACCACCGTTTGCAAAGCTGGAAATGATTTAGACGCATTAATAACAGACATGGAAGTTGAAATGACACAACTAAAAACATGGTTTGATAGCAATTATTTATATCTAAATTGGAAAAAAACTAAATGTATGATTTTTGGAACTAGAAAACATTCAGAACAGAAAGAAATTATTATCGGAAATACAACTATTGAAAATGTTTCAGAAATAAAATTTTTGGGTGTCAAGTTAGACAATAAACTTAATTGGAAAAGTCACATTAACTATATAAATAATAAAATTAGTAAATCCATTGGTATTTTATATAAGGTTAAACATATATTTGATGAGAAAGCATTGTTCAGGATTTATACATCTATAATTGTGCCATATTTTCTGTATTGTATTGAGGTCTGGGGCAATGCTTGCAAGAGTTTCACAAATCAAGTTTTCCTGCTCCAAAAGAAAGCAATAAGAATCATTAATCACAAAGGTCCAAGAGACCACACCAATGATCTTTTCATTAAACATAACACCTTAAAATTTTCAGATCTTTTTCAGTTAAAAACTATATTAGCCATGTGGAAAATCAGAAATCAATTGGTTCCTGAGCACATTTACAGGAAATTCATTTTAATCACTGAAGACAGCAGGAGGAAAGGAAACTTTTGTGTACCATTTACCCGCACGTCACTAAAACAAAGAGGCTTTGTTGTTTCTGGAATCAGGCTCTGGAACAGTTTGGGCAACGATCTTCAATCACATCACACCATAGACCAAATGAAACGCATGTATACTTTATACTTAATGGACAAATATAGATATGTGTAGATGAATATGTATGGATATGAATGTATTTGTATGTAGATTTATGTGCATATGTGTACATACTTTGATATGTGCATGCCTGTGTGCGTGTGTGTGTGTGTGTACGTGTACATACTTTGATATGTGCATGCCTGTGTGTGTATGTGTACATACTTTGATATGTGCATGCCTGTGTGTGTGTATGCGTACATACTTTGATATGTGCATGCCTGTGTGTGTGTATGCGTACATACTTTGATATGTGCATGCCTGTGTGTGTGTATGTGTACATACTTTGATATGTGCATGCCTGTGTGTGGGTGTGTGTATGTGTACATACTTTGATGTGTGCATATTTGTGTGTGTGTGTATATGCATGTACAAAATATTTGGAATTAGAGGTTAAAATAAAGTAAAATGTGTGTTAATCACTGACCAATACATATTTCAAAAAACAGAGAATAATAACAATAGTAATTATACTGTGAGGAAACTAAATGTGTGTATATTGTATATAAGCAAATGTGTGTAGATTGTATTTTTATTTATTTTTTTGAGGCGCTCATCATCATCAAAATAAGTGTTATTTTTTTTTCTTTTTTGCTTTAGGGGCATGAACAATAAGACTCGGTCTTCAACATGCTCCTATTCTGACATGTGAACTGTATATTTCAATCCTTTGATGTATTGTTTGGTATATCGTTAAACACATGTAAAGAGTAAAGAATAAAGAAAAAAAAAAAAGTTTTTTTGTTTAAGTTTCAGATGCCATATATTTTTACTAGCAATTTCAAAAATGTGTGCCTCGACTCATAAAGGTTAGGAAACACTGCTCTAGTCTAGAAGATTAATTACTCTATTTAGCTTCTGAAGCTCCGCGCCACACGACTACACACTAGGCTTTAGTTATGATTAGTTTGGCGGTAACAGCGCGGAGCTCTGGCCGCTTGCCTGGTTTCTTACCCGGGGTCTGAAGTCTGCAGCACGGCCTGCTCCTTTCCCCCGGGCCCGGTAGTGCTCTCTCTTGGTCTTACCGCGGGGATGCCCCCCACGGGCGCGGCCTCGGTGCTCTTCCCTGTGAGGGTCTCCTCTCCCGGTTCTGCCTCTGCTCTCCATGCTGTCAACTTTACCCGGACACGTGAGCGCGAGGCACCATAACAGTGGAGTCTTTCAAAACATCTCCGTAGGGAAACAAACGCGGGGTATTCAAAGTTCCTCTTGAACTTTCAAAAATATTGAATAAAGTCGTAAAACCGAACCAAATAATAGTCATATCATACATTTATATACACAAAACTTTTCCGAACGTTTATACCTATAAATAAATGCATATGCCGTTACAGATATTGTGTCATTTATTAATGATCAATTGAGTGGACATAGGAAAAATTGATTAACGAAAATGCAAAAATGAAACAAACACAACAACATTATCAGCCACCCACACACACACACATACACACACATACACACACACACACACACACACACACACTGGATTTGAACATTGTCACAGAAGAAGCCTGTCTAAGAGTGTTGAGTCCTGGCTCCCAGGAGTAGGCCAGTCCCTGAGCTCCACAGTGTCTGAGTTTATTCATATGACACTAACATGTCACAGATTTTGTTTGGTGCAAGGCCATGGAGAGTCTTGAACACAAGCAGAGCTGCTTTAAAGTCTATTATCTGAAACATTGAAGAAAACCGTGTTAAAAAATGTTCGGGAGACGCTTGTGGAAAGCCAAGTCACTGTATATTTTCGACTGCTTTGAGCACAAAGGGTTAATATTCACAATGAATAAAAACAGGGGAAGTATTCTGATTAAAAGAGCTCTTCTTCTGCTTTCTCCTTCAAACAGCTCTGTCTCTTATGTGCCAAAAACTGTCTCGCAGCCTGTAGAAAATAAGCTCTAATGATAAATACATTCAAATTTCCCCTTTGTATCTTTGCAGGTGTTGTTGTCGTCCCACATGGATCCCCAGAGGAGTATCTTCCGTGACCTGTCAAACTTCACCAGTGACTTTGAACCCCACAATGTGGATACGGACTTTGCAAACAGCTCGCTCACCAACTCCTCCCACGTCCACAGCGCTCCACACAACCTCTGGGAGGCAATCGCTATAGCTACAGTGTCTGCCATCGTCAGCCTCATTACTGTTGTTGGCAACGTACTGGTATTAGTTTCTTTCAAAGTCAACAGCCAGCTCAAGACGGTCAACAATTACTATTTGCTGAGTTTAGCCTGTGCTGATCTCATCATCGGAGTGTTGTCTATGAATTTGTACACTACATACATCTTAATGGGGTATTGGTCTTTGGGAAATATAGCGTGCGATTTGTGGTTGGCAGTGGATTATGTCGCGAGCAATGCCTCGGTTATGAACCTGCTCGTCATCAGTTTCGACAGGTACTTTTCCATTACACGGCCACTGACGTACAGGGCCAAGCGGACTCCTAAGAGAGCCGCCATTATGATAGGGATGGCATGGACAGTGTCATTTGTGCTATGGGCTCCTCCCATTCTTTGCTGGCAGTACTTTGTTGGCGAGCGCACTGTGCAGCATGACCAGTGCCAGATTCAGTTTTTGACAGAGCCTGTGATCACGTTCGGCACCGCCATCGCCGCTTTCTACATCCCCGTTTCTGTTATGACCATCCTGTACTGCCGCATCTACAAAGAAACTCAAAAACGGACTAAGGATTTGGCTGAGTTGCAGGGATTGACCAGTGAGAGCGTCCAGGAGGGGACCAGAACTCAAAAGAAACTAATTCATTCGTGCTTCCAGTTCCATCGTGAGAAAGCAGAACGCAGCCAAGCCTCCTGGTCGTCTTCCAACCAAAGCAACGCCACCAAAACCACCACGCGCTCGGACGAGGCATGGACTAAATCCGAACAGGTGACCACCTCCTTCAACAGCTACACTTCCTCTGAGGAAGACGAGCATCATGTGTCCATAGATACGCCGCACGGCTCCTTCAAAGACCAAACACAAAGCAGCAAGAACGGGCAAGTAGCCGACTACGGAGGGGACGAGCCATACTTCTCCTCGCCTTCCAAAAGAAACGGGAAAAAGGGCATTGCATACAGGTTCAAACTGGGATCTAAAGGGAAAGGTCCTCCCAGTCGCGACCCGTCTCCGAGCAAGACTGAGACAGAGGTGGTAGCCAAAAGTAATCCCTCGCCATCCTCTTCCACCACTTCCAAACCTGTAGATCCCATCATGAAGAACCAAATTACCAAGAGGAAACGAATGGTGCTTGTGAAGGAGAAGAAAGCAGCCCAGACCTTGAGTGCGATCCTGCTGGCGTTCATACTGACGTGGACGCCATACAACATCATGGTTCTGATCTCCACCTTCTGCGGCGAGTGCATCCCAACCTGGCTGTGGCACCTGGGCTACTGGCTGTGCTACGTCAACAGCACCATCAACCCCATGTGCTACGCTCTGTGCAACAAGACGTTCCAGAAGACGTTCAGGATGCTGCTGCTGTGCCAGTGGAGGAGGAGGAGGCGCAACGACAAAATCTACTGGGGAGGACAGAACGCACATGTCAACAAAGTCACTTGAACGAGTAGAAAAGGGTAAAAGATGAGGATTCAAGGCTGCGGGTCTCATGTGTACATTCTTTGGACGTGAGAGGCTTTGTCAAGGAAGGGGTAGAACTAGATCCAACAGAACTGGACATCAGCAAGCATGTTCAAATTATGGCCTGGAGGCAAAGGCAACCCATAGACATTGTGCCAAAATTGGCACTGGTACTTTGTAGGACCAGCTTAATCTTTTTACACTCAATGGAAAACATTAATGGTTGACAATTTGCACCAATCTGTGGCTTTCCATTGGTCGTATGCTTTGGTCGGAACTTCATTATGTGGTCCTTGGTGTTCAGTTGACACCACTGGCCTTAAGGATATGTAAAAAATGAGAAATGAGGTCATAGAGATGAACAATTTAAAACAAAATTTGTCTTTTGAATGGGAAGAAGGTCCCCCAATAGGAAGCTGAGACCCACGGATCACCTGATGTACTCCTCCATTGTCAAGACTTTGGCCTTGTCTCTTCTGTGTAAATGTATTTCATGTTTAAAAATGTGTTTGATTACAGATCATTTTAAAAACCTTATGAATCAATGCCTCCATCAGCATCAGTATATCAATCTGACCACAGAGGAGTCATTCAAAAACAAGATAATATAACGGTTCTCTTCCTGCAATAGTTACTTAAAACCCAACATTCAAAATAGGATGAAAAAACATGGTCTGAATTGTGGAACTTGGCAGTGGTTTCCACACGCTGCTCGCCTGGACTTTAAACTGTCCATGTACTGTACATTTATTTGCAAACAAAAAAAATCTCAACACTCAGACTCCCAAAATTCTGAAACTACAGTCATTTTGGCTGCTTTTGTTGAAACCAGTGTAATTCGGGGAAATTGCCACAAAACATGATACATTTGCAACCGGATTTATTAAAAGATAAAAGATTTTATAAGACTTTTTCTTACTTTTACTGAGTGATTGTAACAGTTTTTGATACAGTTCAAACAGTTTGTTGAAAGTAAACTGTGTTTCTATGGTAAAAAACAATTGCTGACCCTGCTTTAAACCAAGATTAGTCCAGAACCAGTGGGGACGAGTCCTGGCTCAAAAAGATCCTTGAGCATGTGCGCTGACATACTTGCAATACCACTCCAAGCCGGTGGGGGTGGACCCAGAAAGAGAATTATCCAATGCTTTTGTATGGCGTCTTGAAAACGGCTTTACAGGATGGTCTAAAAGTCGGCTCTTGGCGCAATGCTACATTTTAGATGTGTGTCAATGCTGAGGGGAGTATTTAATTTTGGACCAGTCTAGTTTGGCCGCTGTGGACTTTTGAAGGCACGCGTCAAATGAATGGGGCTTGTGACAGCTAATGCATGCGCAAAGGTGTTTTTTCATTAAGTTCCTGCCCTGTGCAGTGGCCATTTTGAAAATGCCCACAGATGGCGGAAATAGTTGCACATTAGTTTCAAAGGCGGAGACCGGTGTGACATCCATCCATCCATCCATCCATCCATCCATCCATTTTCTACCCTTTAATCCATTTCTGGGTCAGGGGGGTGGCAGTCAGAGATGCCACCCAAGTCTCATAGCACCAGCCCCTCACTGACCCTCTGCAGGTGGTGAGTCCACAGGAGGACGGCTGCTCTCTGAGTGTGAGCATAGCCTTGATCTTTCAGTGGGGGCTTTGAGCAAAGTGGGGTTAAGTGTCATTGCAGCCAGATAATTCCCACCTTTTTTTCAGACTGCTGTGAAAGAGTCCCCCGCCTCGCACCCCCCTGAAAAATAGTTTTCATGTAAACGAAACCAAACCGATCACAACTCTTGCCTCCCTTGCATCTTCCTCTACTTCTTCCTCTCTCCCACTTACTTCTCTTCCTCCTCTCTTCCACTCAAGCCTCTTCTTCCTCTCTTCCTCTCTCCCACTCACTCCTCTTCTTTCTCTCTTCCACTCACTCCTCTTCCTCCTCTCTTTCACTCACACCTCTGAGGTCTCCTTCTGTGTTAAGAGGATCCTTCATTAGTAACACACCTTTCTCACACAAAGACACGCCTCTTTGCTGTTAGAGCCTTGCACAAACACATTTCTCAAATGTTTAATTAATGTGACATACATGTGTGGCTATTCTTTGTCATTGAGCTAATGTCAGATTGGCCTCAGATCACTAATGTTGATAAATCACGAATTAGGTTTGTCGTCTTCTCCTGAGGCATCACAAACATTTGGAGTCATCACTCACATGAATATTTTATTCACAAAGTCAACTTAACATGGATTTAAAAGTGTGTTTGTTCTCAGTGTCTGCTCTCCAGTACAGTCATTGCAGATCTTAAGCCCTGTCTCCGCCCGCCCTATACTCTACTCTCTACTCTATTTAGCTGTACTCTACTACTCTACTCTTCTCCACTCTACCTGGTTGTGTTTCCAGTACACTGCAGTATCTGTACCGTATCCTAACAACATACCCACAACAAACCTGTTCCTTGGTAACCATGGCTTCTAGCAGCACTCTGACCAATCACTGTCAGTTAGAACACTTTAGTACCAGCTTGGTCTGGATAGAACCAGGGCCAAAAGGGTTAAACAAGGATGATGGAAACACTTCCAATCGGGGGAGATGAAGTAGAGTAGAGTAGAGTAGAGTAGAGTAGAGTAGAGTAGAGTAGAGCTGATGGAAACAGGGCTCATATGGTTGATGTAGAATTCGGATGGAAAGTTTGAAGGAAAGTAAAGAAAAAATAAAACAAAAAGTATTGCAGAAGGTTGCACCTGGTTCTTGTTTCATGTGAAAGGATTGTGATCACAGTTTAATGACACATTTTCTAATTCAAGGATGTTTCTGTTCATGGATCTGTTATTTCCTCAAACATCAGATTAGAAAACAGATTGAAATTTTTGATATTAATGTGTTTTTATTGAACAGTCTGGTGCAGGATGTTTTTTCTGTTCCACCTGTACATAAATACAAGACTGTGGTTCTTTTATGCTCAAATCTGTCAAAGACGTTTAAATGTGACGCAATGTTTGTTTTCAAGGGCTTTCAATGGTTTCTGTGCATCCAGGCGTCCCATTTGTCACAAACATTCAGTCAAAAGTCCGGATTGTCTCTTTGGTTTAATGTAGGCACTAAAACCACAAGCGGAGTTCACTTTATAGGAGTGTTCCCCAACCTTTTTCAGGACGTTAGAATGTTGTGGATTCACCAACACTAAATCAGACAATCAAACAGTTTGAACACAGGATATGCAATAATGACAAACACATACTAGGAGCCATTGGTCCATAGGAAGCGTCCTTAGACCTTCCTGCATCAGCAATGAACCACTCAGAAATCCAGTGGGGAAAAGTGAATAATTTCTGAGAGGATCATATTGAGAGGGACGGACAGGCTTTGCTTCCAGGACTGAGGCTGTGGATTCAAGTCTCACTAAATGAAACTCAATCAAACGTGAAAGAAAATTTTGAAGAAAAGTCCATGATCTCGTGTTTTTATGTGAAGATTTCCTTGAGACAATTTTGTGTCTAACTACTGTTCACATAAACAGACTGAAGCAGGACTGCGAGCCACGTCATCAGCTCTGGAGACCAACAACTGATCTGAGCCCAAATCATAACATAAAAATACATACATTGGCTGCAGTTTTGATTTATTTAGTTTATTTAGATGAGACACACCGTCTCATCTAAATAAACTAAATAAATCAAGTCCCACACTCACAAACACACACTCATTGAACCCTCTGGGAAACAGGGGAAGATACAGAGAGAACAATCAAGCTCCACAAAGAAAAGCCTTGCCTGGAGGTGGCGCAAACCACTGAAAAAAAGCAACAATTTATAGTCCAGCAATCATGGTACCCATCACTTCAGCTCAAACAAAAAAGGGTGTCCACACTTTTGACTGGTTGTCCATTGACGCCGTATACAGTATTCAATGTTGAGAAGGAGCTGTACATAAGACTCTTCCTTATGAACTGTTGTGTGTGCAGTAGTGTTGACGCTTTGTGCCTTTTGCTCAGCGGCCCTGATTATGTGCAGCTTGTGAATCCTCTGTCACTAACATGAAAGCTGTCGAATACACTGGAAGCACAACACAAGCCTGTTGTGTTACACCTGCTCCGAACGGTGTAAGAGCTTTGGGACCTGAGGTGAATGACGACAATGAAAGAATTAAAAGTTACATACATTTCCCCTTTTAAAGTGAGTGTGTTACTTTTTCAATTGTGGAGCGAGCGACGTTGCACCGGTTTGAATGTTGTTATTATAGAGAGAGACCAAAGAGAGACTAGAGAGAGAGACCAGTGGGAGAGGGGCTATATGATACATGTTTTTAGTGATGGGGTAACCTATTCGACACAAAAAAGCCCTGTCTGGAGGTGAGATCAAACACTGCTGTGATTTGATTTACAGCGACAGATGTGTCCTCAGATACCAGATCACATGTGCACAAATGTGTCCCCAGATAACAGGCTACATGGTTAGAATCGTATATATATGGAATTACAATGGTCTATCGCTCGCCAACCATAAACTCTGGTCAATTATTTCCCTACATGTATAAAATGAAATGAGTCCGATATGGCATGGTAAGAACAGGCAGGTCCATTTCTAAAATTACTGTTTTAAGTGAGGAACTTTGGTGTAACTCCTGAACCTCAGTGTCACCTGCAGCGGTATTTTAGTTAATGCATGGTTTATGAGACCTACAACCAACTAGTTTGATATCTCTGCGATCGCACAAACCCTAACCCAGCAGTTGTGAGTTCAGGTGGTTAGCAAAGTGTGTGTGAGGGGTTTTACAGCCTTAAAACATAGAGCTGCTACTTCAAGGATTTTGCTTATTGCAGGTTATTTTTTAGAACACATCAACCCCACAATAAACCAGGGCCCAGTGTACTAACATACAATCAACACTATGATAAACCCTGATTCAATGTCTCTTCTTTAATATCTATAACAATTATATACATTCATTTTTAAACAGGAGGAAAAACACAGCTTTTATACCATCACATTTTATTGATCTGTTTTTAAATAAGATTATCAGTCTTAAAAGTTCAATGCATCCTCATTCACAGTCGCTTTTCAGTTCTCAGACAAAACCCCCGAAGTTTATGTATATATGCTCTGTATCAGGAAGTAGCAGCAGAAAACACATTAAGTTAGAAGAGTAGTCGAGTAGAGCTTCTCAGACAGAAGTAAATTAAGATTAGCCTTTAAGAATGAGATTAGCATTTGTTAAGAATCAGTGCAGAACAAAAACACACGTTCCAATTGAACCTTATCGGTCAAATGTGCTCAATATATTTATAAAGAAACTGTACAGTCAAAAAAAAAAGACGTAAAAATCTTGTTTCCAGGCATGTCCAGTTGGGGGCAGTACTACCTCCGTTTGACAGCTGGCCGCGTGCCTTTGCTGTTGCCCCCGGCTTTACTGGAGCCTTTGGAGCCGGAGAAGAGCTTTGTCATGATCTCAGAGACGTCCGGAAGCTCAGGGTTGGGGTTCAGCATATTCATGGACTGCTCCATCTCCTGCACACAAGAAAATACCAGTAAAACTACTGCAGCCATTTGAGGTTGTGCTGAAAAGACCACAGAGAAAGTCCAGAGAGAGACCAGAGAGAGAGACCAGAGAGAGAGAGACCAGAGATGGAGACCAGAGAGAGAGACCAGAGAGAGAGACCAGAGAGAGAGACCAGAGAGAGAGAGACCAGAGATGGAGACCAGAGAGAGAGAGACCAGAGATGGAGACCAGAGAGAGAGAGACCAGAGATGGAGACCAGAGATGGAGACCAGAGATGGAGACCAGAGAAAGAGACCAGAGAGAGAGACCAGAGAGAGAGACCAGAGAGAGAGAGACCAGAGAGAGAGACCAGAGAGAGAGAGACCAGAGAGAGAGAGACCAGAGATGGAGACCAGAGAGATGGAGACCAGAGAGAGAGACCAGAGAGAGAGACCAGAGAGAGAGACCAGAGAGAGAGACCAGAGAGAGAGACCAGACAGAGAGACCAGACAGAGAGACCAGAGAGAGAGACCAGAGAGAGAGAGACCAGAGTCTGTCTTCGTGAGTAATCTTTCATGATCGTGTTGCAGAGGATTTTGAGAATAGGATCAGCTTAGAAATGAAACTTAATAAAAGTGATCTGAAGACCTTAGTTCTCACCTTTCTCATTTCTGGATCGTTGGTGTTGACGACTTTGGGCAGAAGGACGATGATCAGCAGCGGTAGGACCATCATCATCACCTTGGATCAAAAAAAAACAGTTCTTTAGGTATATTTACAACAACAAAAAATGTGTATAGCCTTTGTATATAGCAAAGTTCATACACAAGGAAACGCAAAGTGCTTAACAAAACAAGAAAAGAAACTCTAAATTAGATATTCACAGTACATTAAAAAGAGTGAAGAAATACAGGCCTCTAACCCTATTTTGGAGTACACTAGGGCCAGGTACAGATTTAGTTTTTTTCCAGGAACAGTAATTAAACGTGGGAATTGGCAAAAAAGTAACAACTCAATAGTACTACAATATTAGGTCCACAATTCAATAATATTGCGATTCTTAACATATTTGATTCTGCAATATATTGCAATTCGCTCAAATTATTCAAAGGCATAAACAAAAAAATGAGAAAAATAAGACTGCTCAACCCAAATGTTACATTTATAATGCCCTGCTTATTAACTGAAGTGCAAAAAAAAAAATGTCTTTGAATAGGCAACCTCCTACATAAACGGTGAGCTCCCAGCACATAACTTAAGTTAGTCAACTTTTCAGACAGATAAGTAAAACAGAGACGACCACACTCAGCCAATCAGTTCCGAGTCCAATGCATCAATGAGTGACTCGCAGGGGACTTTCTTGCAAGTATGTACAAGATAATATGTTTTCCAATTAGATGAAGACAGCATGTTGTGGTCTGATTTGTTCACAATAGGGATGTAAAAAACTGAATTTTCATGACCAACCACCGCGCCTCATTAACCGGTTGAAACCGGTTAACCGCGTAGTTTAAAATATTCCACGTTCTTTGAAATAACAGGCATTTCGAGCCGCGTACTTTCCATGAGTGCAGCTCTGCGTTTTACTGGATCAGAGCCGAGACAGCGGCACCAAAACCCGCAACAGCTTCGGCACCTTTGCGCAGAGAACTGCTTTTTTAATCTTCCCATTCTGCTAAAGTATTTTTAAGCAAACGACGGCTCGTACACATGGTCGGAGCAGCGAGTCTCGCAGGTCTCCGCTAAAGTTTAAAAGGGATGTGTGTGGAGCTGATCTAATGCCAAGGACCATCAGCACAAACATGTTCCATGTGGTTTGACTGGAGCCGTATTGCGAGGATCCTTTGGGCTCCGTGACACAGAGGAGCACGACAAACCGGTATGTGTGTGTGTACAATACATGTATGTGTGTATGTGTGTGTGTGTAAATATAAGCTCCAATGTAGTTCTGGCCCGCACCAGTGTGCAACCAGCAGGCGGTAACAGAGGGGATTGATTGATTGATTGATTGATGATACGTATCAATGGAGGAGGGGAAAGTGTGTGTGCGTGTGTGCGTGCATATTGGCGCACACAGCTAGATACGGACCCGCTCGTCACATCGTGCAAATAGGGCTTAAAATAGCGTTATGAAGAGACCTCCCCTCTCCCCTTTTTCTCTTTTTTAACTGACAGCTTTGACCGGTTAACGCTGTGACGGTCAACCACCGGTTAAACGGTCACCGATTTACATACCAAGTCCACAACAAAACTCTTTCTTGGATACCGCAATGTTAAGGCTAGGGGGGCAATCAGAGCTGCCACCCAACTGACAAACCACCAGCCCCTCTGTGATCCTCCTGCAGGTGGAGCGTCCACAGGAGGATGGCTGCTCGGTCAGCAACGACACAGCGTTTTTTCTGTGGGGGCTTTGGGAGAAGTGGGGCTAATCGTTGTTCCAAAGGACTCAACAACAGAAGACTGCAGTGGGCAACAATATAGTATATTTCTAGATGCTTCTAATGAAAGCCTCACCATGGGGTTCATGAGGAAGTCGGTCCAACCCCAGGTCTCCCTCTTCATGAAGTAGCTGTGAGGTCCGGAGGCTCGGATCTGCAGAGGGTACGGCTGCCGGATGACCTCAGACGTCTTGATGTTGTTCACCAGACGAGCTCTGTGGAGAAGCAACAATCAGATCATGAGTGGAAAACAACTATGAAGATCAGGGGTGTCTTATGGCATAAATTACTTATTCATTAAACATTGAAACCCCCCATACTGGTTCAACTAATACTGATTCCTATGTCGTGGGTTCGAGCCCGACTTTCACCATCGACTTCCACTGTCTGCTGTTGTTGTGTCCTTGGCAAGACAATTAACCTCTGGGAACACCAGCCACAGTGGGGCGGCTGTGGCTGTAAAGTGCCTAACTGCCATTGTGTCCTTAGGCAAGACACTTCACCCCCATTGCCTAGAATGAGTCTGGTGTGTGTGTGAATGGTTGGTGGTGGTCGGAGGGGCCGATGGCACATACTGGTTGCCTCGCTTCTGTCAGAGTGCCCCAGGGCAGCTGTGGCTACAGTAGTGGTTTATCACCACTGTGTATGGAGTGAAAGAATAATGACATGTGCAGCGTCTTTGAGTGTCCAAAAAAGCGCTATATAAAACCGATGCATTTTTATTATATTATTTATTAACCATTAACGCTCTGGTTTTATGGTGCAAAAGAATTTTAGTGTTTGCGTTAGATTGAGATCAAGATTATTAGTCCGTTTTAATTACTAAGACGGTGATTGGTCATCACTTTGAGGGTACTATTTTTAACCTTCTATGATCCATTGTGGAGGTGTGACATATGTTCCTTGCTGTAGTAATGGACCATGTGATGAAGCTGCAGAAGACTTTTGACAGTCTCCTTTGTAAATATAGGTTTACTTGTTCCATGTAACTTTAATTAACCACACAGAAATCCCCTCTGTTTCCGTGGATTATGAAAAGGTTTGATGCCCCTAATGAAGATGATATGAATAGTGAGATTGTTACCTCATTTTGCCTTTGGATGTGATGTCCACACGCACTGGCTCAAACCGGTACGAGGGTGAGATGATCTCCAACACATAGGAGCCTGAGGGGATGTCGTTCACCGCAAAGCTTCCATCAGTTCTGGAAAAGACAAGTATTTCACAAATGTCAAAACAGAATGAACTGATCAACTACAAAACATATGCTGGATTTCAGTTGATTGATTGGTTTGCTCAGCTCCTGTGGACTCACCACCTGCAGGAGGATCAGTGAGGGGCTGGTGCTATGTGCACTGGGTGCAGCTCTGACTGCCACCCCCCCCCCCCCCGAAGGCCAGAAGGTCGTGGGTTCAATTCCCACCTCTGCACCTTCTCCACCGACTCCCACTGATGACTGCTGTCGTTGTGTCCTTGGGCAAGACACTTAACCCCACTTTGCCCAAAGCCCCCACTGAAAGATCAAGGCTATGCTCACACTCAGAGAGCAGCCGTCCTCCTGTGGACTCACCACCTGCAGAGGGTCAGTGAGGGGCTGGTGCTATGAGACTTGGGTAGCATCTCTGACTGCCACCCCCCTGACCCAGAAATGGATTAAAGGGTAGAAAATGGATGGATGGATGGATGTCCAGACTACTGGTCTGCTATCACAGTAGTTAACTATCAGGGGAGGTGGGAGCAAAAACACCATTAAATTCAGATATAAAAGTAGATCCATCAGACTCGTCCCTAGAGGAAAGCGTTATGGAAACTACAGAAAACATGACTCGCACTTAGAGATCACATCTTAAGCAAAACAGTGTTTGTTAAATGTCTCATCTATAAATGAGTCTGGACCATATGTGCAGAGCAGCTGTCTTCCATAGAGCGAGCAGGTAGAAGCTAGTGAGAGGCTAACTACAAGCTAGGCTAACTGCTAGCGGTTAGCGGCTCGCGTTAAATGACCACTAAAGTTACCTCATAAAGCCGACATATTCCTCTCCTTCCACCAGGACCCGGGCAGACGAGACCCAATCCTGAGACTTGATCCCCGGTACCACAGCTCGTCCCTCTATTTTGAAGCGATCTCCATTGGTCTGTGCGGGCGAACCTGTGCTAATGCTAGGCCCAGTGTCCATGTCCGTGAAGCACCAGGCCACGGCCAGCGCAGCCTGCACCAACAAACACAACAGCGGTGCTCTGTCTCTAAAGTGCATTATGGCAGTCTGGAAAACACAAACACAAAACACGGCTCCAGTCGGGGGAAAGTCTAGAGACTGATGCGGGGTCAGCGGGAGGACAGGAGACACGCACAGCGGAAGACGGGGAGCATCAGCTGGCTCGGAGGAAAGTGACGTCACGGGGAAAAATAAATACATGCAAATAACACTAACATTACAGTTGAGGCATATAATATTTTATACATTATCGTGGTTTTCCATTTAACAATAGAACCCCCATTCAAGCCAATGGAATTTTGAGAAAACCCTCAAACATTTTTAGCTTAGTAATTGCTTAGGTGGTTTTCCTTACCGTAGTGCTAAAACTTTACCAGGACCTAACCAGGACTTAAACCAGGACCATGGCTTTCTACAGCTTTAAATACCCCAAAAAGTTGTTTACAAAACGGAGAGTAATTTTACATTCAAGTCTTTAACACTGCTACGGTTGTTTAAGTTAAAACTCCTCTTAAGAGTGAATTTAACACACATAATGAAATAGAAATTACTAAAAATAAATCACCACAGCCTGATATGATTTGTCCATCATTCCAAAACCTTTCAATAGAGAACATAAATAATTCTATGATAAATACATTATGGTAAGACTCACTGTACAAAGACAGTTACCATGTGGAGCCAGTTGTAAATGTTTGGTGTACTGTAGAACCTGTTTTCAGGTTTACTTTGGGCACTGAATTCACAGCAGTCATCAGTCATATGGTCTGCACTATTGTTTTCTCTGGTGCTGAAAGGCACTCAAAACACATCCCTCCCATGTCAACAATGGAGGAAACTAGTGCATTGTACCACTTTGCTTTAGCCCCATTTGTTCAAACCACATCGAGTTGCAGGTAAAATGTGAGCAAACGTGAAAGGGGGAAGCAGAAAACATGAATTCAGATGAAACCATTTTCACCCAGACTATACCAATTAAAAGACTGTTCATGGGACACAATGACCATTTGCAGTTGATGTCATTTAGGTATTGGAACTCAGTCTATGTTTTAGACGTTCTAGACCTAGACCAAGGGTTCCCAAACTTTATAGTAACATGGCCACTTTAGCAGAATTGTCAAGAGGCATTGATTCTACAGTTGTTTGTTGATTAAGTAGACGAGAATATGGAAACAGACACAAAATGTGGGGACATTGCTGAATAGAAAGCGCTCTGCTACTTTGGTGCCAAAAAGAGCCATTCCTACTTCCCCACTTGAAATAAATGGATGTAATGGATGACACTGTGAAAGTGCCTCCATTACTACTTTGAGTTAGCAGCAGAGGGCCACATAACAAGGCACAGCAGACAGCATTTGACCCCCAGGCCTGAGGTTGGACATACCTGCTCTACGTTCTATACCTAAAGTTATATATTTGATAATTGATTGTGAAATTTTACATTTATTTAAAAGATTAAAAGAATCAATTGTTTTACATACAGTCAGCTGTCATACACACAGGCAACAAACAAGAAAAAAAAAAAAAGCTCTAATAACTTAAAGACTGTTTCAAGTTCCTGATTGCAAACATCGGAGCACTGGTCTTTCCGGAGCGTTGCGACCAAATAATGGCACTTCATAGAACAATAAACTCGATCTCCCAGAGGTCTCCTGTGCTCCTTCAATACTGTCCACAATGTGAAGCAGCTCGACTTGTTGCTTTGTCGTTAGTCAGCAGGTGCTCACGGCCCTGCGTCAGTGTCTCGACCTCCACAGAGGGAGAGAAAAGAGTCAGGTTCAGAGTCAAAGGGGTCCAAATGGAATGGTTCAGTCCACGTGTCTAGAGGGGGTTATCGGCCCCAGACACAGCTGTGATATTGGCAGTAGTGGTCACATCCTCAGAGCTACATGAAGCCGGTCAAGGGAGTTGAGAGAGGTAAGCCTCCAGAGCCTGCAAGACAAAAGGGAGGAGGTGATTTAGGAAGAGGTCATGTAAGAGACTAGTCTAAAAGGTACACTTGAGATCATATATTGCAGTCCAGGGTACTACGGAAGCCTTCGATGGACAATATGTTGTGACTGCCAAGGAGAGAATCCTTTAGTTTGATAAATGACCGGATACCTCCAGATTTCCTGGTCACTTGACACAGTAGCATGGATGCTGACGTGTAAATAAGACCGTGTTCTGAAGCGGCACCCGAGCGCTGCACAGAGGCTCTAAAGTGTTTTACCATGGGTCAATTATAATATATATAGTTTTACAAACGCGGTGAGAAGAAAAGAATGGAGGAATAACGTCTGTAGGACCTTAAAACCATGATGATCCAAGAAGCAGGACATTCGCAGCCGTAGCTAAAAGCTCTGTGTGTTTTGTTTGAGGCTTGTTCACTGAATAAGTTTAGTTGAAACTTGTGCTTGGAGCAGAGCGGGTCAGAACCTCCTGAGGCCCGTGTTGCAATTTCTGCCTCGCTCTCATTGTCAGTGTGAAGAAAGTTACGTTTGTTGTGTAAAAACTACAGCATTGTGCCTTATATTGTTTTAACGCCTTTTGGTGCGTGTGGTTTGCGATGTTTACACGTTTGATGTTATGAAGCAGTTTTCTAGATTTTTGCATAATTCTTTTTCTAAACAATTCTTGTTTGGGTAGTTCTTTTACTAAACGATTCTTGTTTGGGTAGTTCTTTTACATAACTGTGGTTCTCCATTGTTCCTACGTCAAACTTGGGCACAGTGGAAGCAACAATATCAGTAGCACCTGTGAAACGAAAACACCAACCAATGCATTTCAAGATGGTGCATGAGCATTCTCCAGCCTCATGGACATTTATAAGTCAATTGCTAAGCATATGGCAACAATAAAAAAACATGGTTAGGGTAAATATTATTAAAAAAGGTCACATTTGTTGCATATTTTCATTTGGAGCAACAAGTAAACACAGTGAAGTCACTGTCTCTTCTTAAAGGTACTTTATGTAATGAAATTGGACATGGACAGGAGACAACTGTTTTAAGACTTGACTTAAAAGGGGGGGAGAATAGATCTTAGATCGTTGATTAGAGTAAAGCAGGGGTGCTCAATACGTCGATCGCGATCTACCAGTCGATCGCAAAGGTAGTATTGGTAGATCGCATTAAATAAATAAATAAATACACATTCTAAACGAATATATACAAAAAACTCCGGGCAAAGTGGAGATTTTTGAAAACTCCGTTAATGCATTTGTGTGTAGACAGAGATAACCAGAGTTTTGCGTTCTCGCACGCCACAGTACCCCCCTAAATTCCTCTGATCACTGAAGCATGGATCATACTACCTTAAAAACTGTTCGCTGTGAGATGCTCGCAGCAGCGAACATCCTCCACATCAGAGAGCAGGAAAGTGATCGCGGGGACTCACGCTCGAAAACAACCAAACCAGGACTAAACCAGGACTAAACCAGGACTAAACCAGGGCTGAGGACGGGGTCAGTGCTTGTAAACATACGTCTTTACTCTGAGTGTCTTCTATGACTGTAAAAGTGCCGTTACCGGTGTCTGCATCAAAGCTCCGCCCACTTCTGTGTTTTTCCCCAACACAGGACAGGACGTAAGAGACACACATGTTTGGAACGTTACGAATGTGACTGATAACGCAGATGTGTGGATGCAAATTATTTTATAAACTGAGGAGGGGAAATATTTGGATTTAAAAAAAACAGGCATGGCACATGGACATGGCACCACAGTCAAATGACATCTGTGTTTTACTCAGTAATGTTTTACTGACACTTAGGTGACTGCACATGCGCAAACAACCGCTCAGTGCAGGAAAGCTAAACCACGACAAACTTGTCAGCGAGTTACCACCAATTTTCCGGACTATGCATCCCTGGCCGATTCAATTCAGTGCAAGTCATCAGAGTAAACTCGGGTAATGACAAAAAATGTACATAGGTAATTGTGTTGTGTTGTGCTATATTGGCTCATGCGGTTTTGCATGTACATAAACATACATTGTAGGTATAAAGAATATTGTTTGAAATAAATATATGATTTGCATTTTTGTAGTAGGTAGATCATTTTGACTTGATCCTTTTATAAGTAGCTCGCATGCTGAAAAAGTGTGAGCACCCCTGGAGTAAAGGATATAGTTCTAGTCATTCTAGTGATCCAAGTAAAATGCAGCTATAATGCATTCTGTTCACCTTTGCCAGATCGCCTGTGGATCCTGGGAGCGCTGTCAACCGAGATCCCTCCTTCCACAAGTCTTTTAGACGTTGCTTCATGACTTCAATATTCCTACAACAAAAATATGACACATTAAAAAGGTCTTAGGAAACATCCACAAGTAAATGTCTGCATCCACTGGAATGTAGTAAAAACAGCTGAACCTCTCCTCGCAACAGTCAAAATCTCTGCTATGCTGCTCCGTTGTTTCTGTCTCCAAAGGAAGGCTTTCTCACCCATCGCTCAGACTGCACTGTCTGAGCTTTCATTCCCTTGAAAAAGTTCTTTGGATTAAGGGCGAAACATCGGAAAAACCTGCTAAGAAGCATAGCCTTCCTTTGCTTTGACTAATCCCTGTACGACAGAGATCTTACACAAACTTAACGGAGCAGCACATAAAAGTTTTCCACACTGAAATCGCATTTTTGAAACCAGGTTATTGCTCATGACTTTTTATGACTCTGTGGTAGCCTCGTGGTATGTGAATAAAATACACTTATTGGGAGCTAAATAGCTGTGTGGATTTTTGTCTATCTTTACGTTTTGCAATTTTCTAATCCAGCACGCTAGCCCAGACTACAGGGATGTGCGGTCTTATTTGAAATTTTCTGTGGTAGCTGTTAAATTTCCACTACATAGCCTCTACCATACACCACGCTGCCATGTGCTGGGCCCCGGGCAGCACAGAGCGGGACAGGAGCAGACTGAACAAGCTGGTCAGGAGGGCCAGCTCCACTCTGGGCTGCTCCCTGGACTCTGGATGAGGTGAGGGACAGGAGGGTGCTAGTCAAAGTCACCTCCATCATGGACAACACCTCCCACCCACTGCACAGGACTAAAGAGGAGCTGAGGAGCTCCTTCAGTGGAAGACTGAGACACCCTCAGTGCAAGAAGGAGCGCTACCGCAGGGCCTTTATCCCGACCGCTGTCAGACTGTATAACAAGTCACTTTAAGTCAATGCATTATGACGCAGATCAGCCCGTTCACTTCCTGCCTATGCTATTCTATGGCATTTAGGTGAGTTTTAGTGATGTTTTTTAGTAATTAGATTGATACATTCAGCTGTGAAACTGACCCAAAAGTGTCGCTGTGCTTTCTCTCTGAGGTAGAGCTTTCACTGTGGCCACTCAGAGATTTTTAAACTTTATAAAAACACAATGACAGCACAATCAAAGAGCACTGTTGTGTCCCAAAAATGCCCAGTATCCTCAGTTTAATTCCCGTTTGAGCATTATTTGGGAAACTCGTGTAAACCACTGCTGAACTCCAGTGAAACTCAAGCCGTTTCCCGCAAACAGGAAGTGAGGAGGGGCTTTAGCTAAAACGCGGAAGTGGTGCGTGCATAGAGCCCATTGACACTTCTTTCTTATTGCCACTTTTTGGACATAATATGTCCTGCATCAACACGTTTGCACACTTCTTACTTTTGCACAATCTTGAGTGTTTCTAACCATGCCAAATGTGACATGTAAATTTCTCCTGTGTGAGATTAATAAAGTATATCTTATCTTATTGAACCCCATATGCCTTGTATGGTTGATACTCTGATGTCTCCCTCTCTGGACTCCCACTCCCTTCCTCAGCGCCAAGATCCACATGCCTCTCACCTGTCCTCTGAACAACTGTCCTGCAGTCTTTTGTCCGTCTTTGAGAGTTCTGGCCACCATTTCCTGACGATGGCCTGAACCCAAAGTAAAGCAACCAAAATGTGCCTGAGAACAGAAGAAATGAGTGATGTCTGCAGAGTTACATACGTTCCTAGTTTACCCACACTTTATGAAACGTCCAGGCCCATGTGACACTCACTCTTCGTATTTACTGGTGATCATCAACTTCACTTGTGGCATGATGTCGACGCAGCAGCCAAGAGACAAACACGTTGATTCTGTTTGAAGGCTGGACACAAGAGACAAAAACAATGAGACATTTATTACAAACAGAACGAGAGAGACATCCACTTAATCAGGAATTGTGTACTTGTGATTAAGTTAGTGATAAAAGCAGTTTGCAGGTTCTATTGAAGAAGAAATCTGGATGAAAGTCTGGGAGGGGATTGGATTAGGATCAGCCTTTTGCTTCATCCTTTTCCAAAACATTTTTACTGTCTATTTTACTGCAAATAATTGTTGGTATATATTGGGCATGTTTGAAATAAAAATTACGCATTCTTTTGAACTTAGACAGCACTAGATATTACACATTCTAATTATAATATTTAATCGCAATTAAGCACATTGATGTAATAGTTAACTCAAGATTATTAGCAACTAATTACATAATTTCCTTGGTCTAAATGTCCCTTGATTTTATTAGACAAGCAAAAAAGCTTATATTCAGTATTTGAATTGTCTACAATAGGCTACTCAATCACTGCATGCTTTTGTTATTGCGTTTTACAGTGTATAGAATTATTTAACAAAGTACAAATGATCAAATAGCTTATATCACCAGTGTGTATGGAGTGCGTGAATAATGTTGTGAAGTATCTTTGAGTGTCCAGAAAAGGGCTATATGGAACCCATGTGTTATTATTGTCATTATTAAAGAACTATGACACGTTACAACACTCACTTATGAGTTAAAACAGGTAAGCAGTCGAGCAGCACTCCTGCGTCTTGGATTCTGTCAAAAAACAAATGTTAAAGAAGCTATGTTAAACACTTTAAACTTGATACTACTTAGTGCAGACTCTGTAGACGTGCACCTGATAAGGTAGGCCACCAGTTCATTGGCATTTCTTCTCCAAAGGCTGAGGGCAACTTTGAGCCGGAGACTTCTTCCAAATAAGACTTGACTCATTGCTTCATGATCCTTTGACAGCTTCACAATGAGAAAACAAAAGATAAAAGATAACAATGAATGTAGTGTTTTAACATTAAACATGTGGCTTTAGACTGTACATGGCAAATTAACTAAGTTAAGTTTGATTGAGAGCTTTAAAGTGGGATATAACATGTATATATTGGGGAAGCAACAAAAAGAAAATCTTTTGGGTGGCTGAGTGGGCAGAGAAACTTCCAGAATTGTAACATAGGAGGATAATTTAATGACAAATACCGACTTATGCTATCTTGAAACAATGCAACCAATTAAAGATGCAGTTCTAAACCCTAAAAGTAGTCAAGTTGTCATGTGTTTTCAAATGGTAATGGAATTGACTAGATGCCTATAGTCTCCAAAAAATAATAAAAAATCTTTTGGAGCGGACCGATAATAAACCACTGGGATTCGTTCATCCCCAACGAACCAATGGGAATCGTTTACCCTCTTCACCATCTTCCTGTTTCTTGCGAGTGCACACACCTGAGTTATCGGATTTTCTAAAGCCTAAAAGGGCTGAACAGAAAATGCCAATTTCACGTTTGCCACCCACTCTCCCTGTTGTGACAAAGAAAATATGCTGGATGTTTGGTTTGGTGGAGAGGGGGGGGGGGGGAGTGGTTTCGAGTTGGTGCTACAGCTAAGCTAAAAAAAATGGCTTACTGCATCTTTTTTTAAAAGATGCATAAAGTTTTTTTAAAGAAAAAACTGGGAGTTTATTGTGCTACTTGTGCCTTCTGTGGGCTTTCTCAACATGGCCACATGCCCCACAGAAAGTGCCTGCGGTAAAACATTTAACAGAAATTACATTTTCTGCAGGAAAGACAGAAATTGCAGAAAGTCCGCATCCCTGGTAAATCCTGATACAATTCATTGGTCAAAAAACAACTTCTGCCCCTTTTCTAAACTCATGCGGCTGAAATTTAGTGCATAGGCGTCCATACGTCCATTGACGCACGCTCATGTGTTGGCGGTGTGAAGCTAAAAAATAAATGGTGGTTAGATTGTGAGAGTGAGTGAGTGTGGGACAGACCTCATTTAAGTCAGTGTATTTGGAACTGGCAGCGGCCATCTTGGACCCGTCTGCAGCCCTCACAGGGGGGCTGTCATTGTGGTAGCTGCCCCGAGAGTCACCGGAGCAGGTTAGCTCATTCTCTTTGTTGGCCATGCCAGGGACACGGGCACAGCCTACATGGGATGCTTTGCGGTGCAGCTTGGCGCCCGCCAACTTCAACGGACAGCCCTTCCTCTTGCTGAGTGGGGGCTTCGCGGCTTTGCTTAGACAGGGAAGGAGTCTGTGAAAACACGGGAAGAAAAACACATTCATGATCAGGAGCACGAGCTACAAACCGTTTATCGTTCAACCTAAGGGGGACTCACCCGTGTTTATTTAAATCTTCGTCATGTCTACTATTCACCTAAAACACAAGGGACAAGGGGGCATTACTACACATGCACAGCCACACCACACACAACCTCTCATTTTCTAACAGTTTAATGCTTTATGAATCCTACAGAGACTTAAAACAGAGAAACTATACTGACTCAATAATGTTTTAAAAGCTTTTTAAGTCAAAACAACCCAATAATAATCACACATACTCTCAGACCCATATCTTCATGCAGCTAAAATCTGGAACAGTCTATTTGAAAATGTGGGACAAGTTTCTCCTGGTGTGCTGCTGCTCCGTTGAAATAAAAACCTGCAGCCACACCAATACTTTCTGGAACAAGTTTGACACCCTTTGTCACGAGCATGACTGTCACCCCCTGCAGGACACTGTCTACTTTGAAGAGCAGCTTCAGTGACAGACTACTCCAACCTCACAGTGTGAGAGGTTTGGAAGGTCTTCCCTTCCTGCTGCTGTCAGACTGTACAATGAGAACTGCTGAGTCTGTACATGTACCTGCATTGAGAATCCTAAAGTTAATCCTTTCAGTGGGGGCTTTGGGCAGAGTGGGGCCAATTGTCTTGCCCAAGGACACAACGACAGCAGTCATCAGTGGGGGTTGTGAAGTAGGTCTTATGGTAGGCTCGAACCCACAACCTTCAGGCTCAAAGGCCAATGCTCTACCAACTGAGCCACTGTCGCCCATAGGGGCTTCAGGCAAAGTGGGGTAAAGTGTCTTAAAGGATACCTGCTGCTACAATTAGTATTATTCATTATTCTGGTCATATTCTCTGCTGCTAAAGAACAATATGACTGCTGACCACAGCGTAAGTTACTTTGCAATTAGTTTCATCCATTCAAATGGAAAATCAATCTAACACAGACTGTATACAGAATGCTAATGCTAACACAGACTGTAATACAGATGCTAATGCAAAACACAGACTGTATACAGATGGACCATAATGCTAACACAGACTGTAAACAGATGCTAATGCAAACACAGACTGTATACAGATGCCTAATGCTAACACAGACTGTATACAGATGCTAATGCTAACACAGACTGTATACAGATGCAGAATGCTAACACAGACTGTATACAGATGCTAAAGCAACACAGACTGTATACAGATGCTAATGCCTAACACAGACTGTAGACCGATGCTAATGCATAACACAGACTGCTAACTGTAACAGATGGATAATGCTATACAGACTGGACAATGCTACTGGCTCAACACAGACTGTATACAGATGGACACATGCTAACACAGACTGAATACAGATGGACAATGCTATAAACACTAACACAGACTGTATACAGATGGACCTATGCAAACACAGACTGTAAACAGAGATGGACAATGCCTAAACAACAGACTGGAACACAGACTGTATACTAGTTTTATTTATTGTGGATAACCCCCCCAATTTCTAACACAGACTGTATTACACCTTTTCTCTCTGTATAATAACCAAGGGGCACCAACCTGGAGAGTTTTCTGAAAACTACCTTGAGAAAGATTTCATAGTGCTTTAGGATCTGGTTTTAAGCCGATGGTAAATTTTAATTGAACAGTGGGAGAGCTTAACAGGAACGGTACTATCCAAACAGTCATTATTTCTAATGTTTGATTAATACGGTGAATTATTAGGGTCTAAAATGACCCAGGGCTGGTCTGTTATATTGGGGGAGCCCAAGCACACAAACTTAACCGACAACCATACACCGCATAGAAAATTACCCTACATCCATAACGTCCCGCATAAGAAACTTACCGACAATCCATAAGACCTGACCGGCAATAGAAACTTACCGACCATCCATACGACCGCAGTAGAAACTAACCGACATCCAAACGAATCCGCATAGAAAACTTACCGGAGACCATCCAAACGAACCCGCATAGAAACTTACCTACATCCATACCCCGCATAGAGAAACTTACCGACATACATATCGACCGCAAGAAACTACTTACCGACATCCATAAACCGCAAGAAACATACCGACATCCATACGACCGAAAGAAACTTACCGACATCCATACGACCGCATAAAACTTACCGACATCCATACGCCGCATAGAAACTTACCGACATACCATACGACCGCAAGAAACTACCGACATACCATACGACCGCATAGAAACTTAAACCGACTTCCATACACGACCGCATAGAAACTTACTTACACGACACCCATGAAACGACCGGGCGATAGAACTTACCGACATCCATACGAGACGCATAGAAACTTAACCGACAACCATACGACCTGCATAGAAACATACCGACACTCCATACGACCTAGCATAAAACTTACCGACATCCATAGACGCATAGAAACTTACCGACATCACATACGACCGCATAGAAACTTACCGCATCCTACGACCGCATAGAAACTTACCGACAACCATACGAAACCGCAACAGGAAACTTACCCGACATTCCATGACGACCGCATAGAACCTTACCGACATCCATCCGACCCTCAATAGAAACATACCGACACCATAACGACCGCATAGCAAACTTACCGACACCCATCACGTGCGCAATAGAAACTTACCGACATCCATACGACCGCATAGAAACTTACCGACATCCATACGACCGGCATAGAAACATACCGACATCCCTACGAAGCGCATAGAAACGGAATAACTACCACTCATTGTGAGCAGGCCATTGCAGTAGTCTAACCTACTGGAGACAAATGCATGGATAAGAATCTCCAAGTCTGCTTTAGACACTATGTTTTTGATCCTGGCAATGTTTTTTAGATGGTAAAAAGCTGCTGATGTTACTGATTTGATGTGGCTATTAAAATTTAAGTCTGAGTCCAGTATTACCCCTAGATTTCTGACCTTGTTTGAAGGTTTTAGGGAGAGAGACTGGAGGTGACAGATGACGCTCTCTCTTTGTTTCTGGGGACCAAAGACAATCATTTCTGTTTTGTACTGTATCTGTTGGATACAGTGAAGGAGTGAGTCCACTGGTCCATGTTCTCCTGCAGTCAGTGAGACATAGATCTGAGTGTCGTCTGCATAGTTATAATAGGAAACTTTGTTTCTGCGTATTAACTGACCTAACGGCAGCATGTAGAGATTGAACAGAAGAGGTCCCAGGATCGATCCCTGTGGGACTCCACAGGTCAGGGCCATATGATCTGAAACACAGTTTCCAATCTCCACAAAGTACTTCCTGTCTTCAAGGTAAGACCTTAACCAACTTAGGGCGGTGCCAGCAACGCCAACCCAGTCCTCTAGTCTCTGTAAGAGGATCTCATGGTCGACGATGTCAAAGACAGCACTCAGATCTAACTAGATTAGGATTGAGACTTGGCCTGCGTCAGTGTTCAGCCGGATATCGTTTGTAACCTTAACGAGAGCAGTCTCAGTGCTGTGGTGGGGTCTAAAGCCGGACTGAAACATATCAAATGAGTTGTTGATTATAAGAAATCTAGTAAGCTGTAGGTAGACAACTTTCTCAAGGACTTTCCCCATAAATGGCAGATTTGAGATGGGACGATAGTTGTTAAGTACCGTAGTATCCAGACTGCTCTTTTTTAGCAGGGGCCTGATGACTGCAGTTTTCAGGGCCTTTGGGAATATTCCAGAATGCACAGGGACTGGCCTCCTGCTGGGACTATAAGGAGCATACGGACTGGCTTCCTGCTGGGGTATATAGAGGAGGTAAGTGACACAAAAATTACTGTTACATGGTTCAAAAAGCAAAAACAAACTGAACCATTTAGTGCACAGTGTCCACAGAGCGTCTGTGTGGTCAGCCCCCCGAACAGCCGCATGCATTCAACTGTACAAGGCTTATCTAACAGGCCCTATACTCTCCGATGTCCTTTCAGCCCAAACTCTACTTCTGTCTCAGTACAGAGGCCTCTTGGGTTACCCCCGGGTCCATAGGTGGCCCTACCCCAGTGAGGGCCCATATCAGGATGGCATCAGCAGGAGGAGGATCGGCTTTCTCAGGTCTCAGCTGAAGAATGTCATGTAACTGTATGTTATCAGACCTGACGACAGCTGTGACCTCTGAGGCCTGGAGCGAGCGGAGGTGAGGCCCGCTCCACACGTGCATAAAACATATATACAAGTCAAGATGCTCCGTTATAAAGGTGGCATTGATCCTGCAGTTGGAAATCTTGCAGTGTTGTTTGAACCTGTATTGGTAAGGAAAACAGAAAAATGTCAAAATAATCTTCTGACTTTCAAAAGAAGTGCAACCAGAGTCAAAGGGAAATCAGACAGGGCCATGGAGTGGATTATTAGTTTATTGGTTTTATTTTAATTTGTGTTCTTTGTGGATTCATTTTTTGTTTTACTTCCTGTCTTCCTGTCATCCCCTTTGTTGATTAAAATCTGAAAACCTTGACGTTGACACCTGAAAAAATATGAAATCCATGTCGCTAGTTCCTTGCTAGTTTGTATATATCACTGGTTTCCACATGCATTCATGTTTGGCCTCTATCAGCTTTTTAAGAAAGAAGTGAAAAAGTGAAGACCACCCTCACTCATCAGTGAGATAATAATAATAATGCATTGGTTTTATACAGCGCTTTTTTGGACGCTCAAAGACGCTTCACATGTCTCTCTCTCTCTTTCAATGGTGATATGGTGATCTACCCCCCCACCCACACTCCCCTCTGACACGCCACATTGGACGAGCGGGTCAGAGCAATGTCCCATCAAATAGATCTGCATATTTCCGCATGTACTGTGTCTCTACAATAATCCATCCATCCATCCATTTTCTTCCCCTTAATCCATTTCTGGGTCGGGGGGGGGGGGGGGGGGGGGGGGGGGGGGGTGGCAGTCAGAGCTGCACCCAGTACACTTAGCACCAGCCCCTCACTGATCCTCCTGCAGGTGGTGAGTCCACAGGAGCTGAGATCTTTCAGTGGGAGCTTCAGGCAAAGTGGGGTTAAGTGTCTTGCCCAAGGACACAACGGCAGCAGTCATCAGTGGGAGTCGTGAAGTAGGTCTTATGGTGGGCTTGAACCCACGACCTTCAGGCCCAAAGGCCAATGCTCTACCAACTGAGCTACTGTCGCCCCTCTACAATAATGTCTGTTTGAAATACATGTATATTTTGTTTTGCTCTCTGCTGTTGAACTGTCATAAGGAGCGCAGAAATATGAAAATAGTGTACGCGGCCAGCCTTGATGTTTATTCATCAAACTGAATTTCTCCATTGTGAGATAATAAAGTATTTGATTGTATGATTGATTGATTGATTATTCATTCACTCCATACACGGTGGTGATAAACTACTACTGTAGCCACAGCCCTGGGGCACACTGACAGAAGCGAGGCAACAAGTCTGTGCCGACTGTCTCCGACCACCACCAACCATGCACACTCACACTAGACTCATTCTAGTGTATAGAAGATAACATCTTTTCTCTAGACATGTTGTGGTCTGATTTGTTCCCATAAGGTGACTTAATAAAAGTTATGTGTATGATGTTTACTCTCTACAATACAATGTTTCCCTCCAAAAACACAAAATGGCAAACTAAAGTAAACTAAAATGTGTGTATTTTAAATCTCTTTAGTTTGTTAGCTTTGAAACAAGTTCCAAGTCATTGACCCCCTCCTGCTGATTTCATCACAAACAAACTGGTTAAAAGCTCAAAAAGTTAAAAGGCTGCTTTTTTAACCCAACCCTGTCCACTTTCTGGTTATCTCCTGCTTCTCCGTCTAAAGCTCTCTTTGTCTCGACGCAAATGTTTCTCCACTCATCCAACCTGCTATCGTCTAAAGTTGGCCCAAGACGCAAACTTTAGTCTTTGAAGGGATTCTCTGCATAAATATTGACAAACTGTAAATGGAAATGTACTGTATGTGTAAGAACAGGGGAGAGACCAGAGAGAGACCAGAGAGAGACCAGAAGGAGACCAGAGAGACCGGAGAAAGACAGAGAGAGTGAGACAGAGAGAAACCTTAGTGAGACTAGAGTGAGACCTGAGTGAGACCAGAGAGAGACCAGAGTGAGACCAGAGTGAGACCAGAGTGAGACCAGAGTGAGACCAGAGTGAGACCAGTGTGAGACAAGAGAGAGATCTGAACCAAGAAATAAATCAGAGGGACCAGAGACAGAGACCAGAGAGAGAGTGAGAAGGGAGTGAGAAGCCTGAAAGAGTGACCAGAGAGAGTGAGAGATAGTCAGAGAGAGACCAGAGAGAGACTGGAGAGAGACCAAAGAGAGACAGAGAGAGAGACCAGAAAGAGAGACCAGAGAGAGAAGGGAGTCAGAAGCCTGAAAGAGTAACCAGAGAGAGTCAGAGAGAGTCAGAGAAAGACCAGAGAGAGACCAAAGAGAGACCGGAGAAAGACCAAAGAGAGACCAAAGAGAAACAGAGAGACCAGAGAGAGACCAGACAGAGACAAGAGAAACTAGAGCCAACAGAGAAATCAGAGAGACCAGAAAGAGAGACCAGAGAAAGATCGGAGAAAGAGACCAGAGTGAGAGAGAGAAAGAAGTGAGAAGTCCAAAAGAGAGACCAGAGAGAGTAAGAGAGAGACCAGAGTGAGACCAGACTGAGACAAGAGAGAGACCAGAGCCAAGAAAGAAATCAGAGGGACCAGAGAGAGACACCAGAGACAGGGACCAGACAGAGAAAGAAAGAAGTGAGAAGGCCAAAATAAAACCGAAGGGAGAGCAGAGAGAGAGACCAGAGAGAATATTAGCAAAGTGAGACTTCTCAATGCATCCATTTTTACAGAGTAAGTGTGGAAAAGGGAATGTCCAAGGTATTGACTAAACATATGGCATTGTGGTAAATAGTCAACATTTATACAGCACTTTTTCTACCCATACACCAATGGCGCCGTATTCAAATGAAAGGGTTGTGCTCAGTGGTGCATGTGCCGGCATGGGCGCCAAAAGATTAGCGGAACTTGCCTGGAACTCGCAAAGATCCATGGGAAACTCGCCTGTATTTGGTCATCGTCTGGTCCTCACGGTTCTGCGCAGTGGATGATCTACCATGATGCGTTGCGCCAAATACGTGCGTGTGGCTTTCATGCTCGTGCACAAAGGGGCTCGGCCACGCTCTGAGCAATCAGAGCTGCTGATCAGAGCG